CTATTGCTCAACTGGAAAAAAAACCAGAGGAAGATTTAAAAGCTGCTTTCAAGCACTGCCTAAAAATCAGTCCAGAAAGGCTCCTTTTTACAGCATAACTAATGGATCTGCCCACACAACCAGTTCTATCTTTATTTTGCAAGTAGGCAGAATGACATTTGCAACTGTACCATTCTGAAACTTGTTGCACCACCTTGTGTTTAGACGGGGTAAACTCATGCTTATACAACATGTCACTGCAAGAAAAAGGGCAGCAGGCAGAATGTTTAGGAAGATGTGCATTATCAAGATTAGCATTTCACGTGGAAGGAACTAGTCATCTAGGATTCTAGAAAGCATGTTGTCTCACAGTACAAATGATGTTTCTAAATGTTTCTTTGGCTGCCAATTAAGTTCTTACAATTGTTTGTCTGTACTTAGTCAAGCAAATGGGGCAGTCCTAGTATACAACAATTGGTTAGGATGGCAACATTTCCCAGCAAGTCAGCCTTTCTTGTTTTGCTCTGAGTCACAGTTAATGGCAGACCTCCTTTCTGCTGCTGCTGCAATTCTACTTCTATTATACATTAGCAGTAAAGAAGGAAAGGTGGGTCTACTTGACAGGTTATACGTGGACCTAGAGTCACTTTGTTTATAATCTCTTAGTGCCTTCTTTTGACTTTGTTGCCTCAATATGCCTGCTTTTAAAACAGGAATATAAATTTTAGAATCTACAGTTAAATTAATATTTCTCCCCTGATTCAGTAACAATTTTCAGCCCCAAACTAGGTCTGATCAATCATAAAACAATAACTTTAAGTATTAATTTAAAAACAGTCTCTAATGTGAGAGATAGACTATAAGGCATTACACATTACAGTTTTTCAGTTCAGCAAGCCTTATATTTAATCAGTGTATACAAGAGTCCTTCCAGCCAAACAAACAAGTCTCAGCTATACTCTGTCTTTTGCTCTGTATTCCTAAAAGCTGGATTGTTTCATCTGCATGACATTCACAGGAAAAAGAAAAAGATGTATACTGTTTGCTCCCTCTTTAACTTTGCTGGTTGTGATTCCAGGATAGAAGAGGAGAAAGCACATGATATCAGAAGAACTGTAAAATCGAACAGTTCACAAAATAAGTGGACAAGCAGCTTTGCTTCTCTTGGCTCAGCAAAGTTATTACTGATGTTAATAGTCATTTGAGTCAAATAACCAAAAGGCAAAAACCGACAAATGCCTTTGCATGATCATGGCTCAATCCAACACAGATTTCCAACACATGGGTAGATTTTATTGTATTAAAAGTGTAATTAGTTGAGGAAAGAGATTCTAACATCTCCTAGTATTAATGCTTCCTTGCTGAGGCACTGTTTTCAGATTCTTCAGTGAATGGTATGGTAACAAAGTTCTACCTTACCTCAAAATGGGACGACGAGATGCAGTAAACATGGGGCTGGCACCAAAGACAGCAGCCCATGTAGAGTTTTTCTTCCCCCCCCCAAATACTATACAGTAGAGCATACCTGACTTGAGACACCATCAATTTGTGCAAGTTTTACTGAATATTACAGAGGGGGAGAAGTTGATAGGGAGGATGCCATTTTTTTGCTGTGTATGTGTGTGCCCATGCCTGAAAGTCATGGAGACCTCTAGCGACTCCTACTGGGGCAGAGAGGACATTCAGAAAAGTGGCTTGATAACCTGCCTTTGGCCTCCCAGCTCTGGTATACTCTAGAGGTCCAAATACTTTCCAGGGTCGGTCCTGCTTAACTTCCAAGATCTGATGAGAGCAGGCTTGCCTGGGATATCCATTTTTGACTGCTTCCCCAAGTTCTGCACTCATCTCACTTGCCATCATAGGTCATCATGGCCAATTCATGAATTCATTAATATTTTGCCATCCTGAATGAAATGGTGCTCCCAGTAGTACAAGAAAACACACACAAATATGATGCATGCGTGTGCACATGAGAAAGTGTAAGGTGAGGATAAGGAAGGACACGTAAGAATTGCAAGGCCAGCTGATGGAACTAGGCACTGTTCGCTAGCCTGCTGCCCCCGGTGATCAGTCACAGGGGACAGCTATAGACAACTGGTTTGGAAAAGAGGTTCTTCCCTTACCTGCAGTTAGCTTGAAACATTAAGCGTCCACATTTTTCAAATATTATTCTCAAAATCATCTTATGCAGCCCTCCAGACATATTGCTACTCCCCCATTTCTGCAACAAAATTTGGTGGTTTAACTGAGCATTTGGTGTGCTGCCCATACCTGGCTGGTGGGGCTGTGTTTGGCTTGATGCACCACAAATTGTACAGGCATACTAAACTTTTGGTCTCGGTAATATTTTGGGTTGTACCCTGTATTTTCTCTGAGCAGTTTTCAAAGTCGCCAACTGGTTGCCTTCAAGTTTTACTAGCAGAAAAATTGTTCTTTAGCAGATTACTATAAAATAGCAGGGGGTGATGATAAAGCCTGTGTTATTCAAATATAAAGCTAAGACTACCAAACAAGGATCCTTCTTCACCAATAAGCATAAAAACAAAAGACCAGCAGGTGGATTTTAAAAACAGTGACCCTAAGAATGTCACTGAAGCTGGAAGAGTCCTTGAAGAAAAGGAACAAAAGCTAGAAGAAAGTCAAGGAATGGCCACAATAATGTAGATGGGTTAGGGATGAAATTCAGAGGAGTAGGTACATAAAGTGCTTTGGGATGCATAGTTCTTTACAACAGGGTAGTTAAAAGATGTCATTCCCATTACAGGAGATCTGGTTGGCTATGTCTGTCTCTGAAAGAGAAGTTCTGCTTATGTTTATCTTGGTAATGCAGGGGTCAGTTTTGGCGTGCCTGTGGGGTAACAGGGAATGCTTCCAAGGATTTAAATGGGTATAAACTGTTGGCTTATTGCATTCACATATGCAAAAGGGTGTATTTTAGACTCATCCGTTTGATGTCTGGCATCTGCTTTTTCTTTATAATATGACATTTTAATGGCAATCTGCCTAAATCAGACAAACTGTCCTACCCCTAGCGAAACCTCATGATGAAACTCTGTGTCCACACACCTATTAATATAATAAAATTGCTGATAAATAATTATGCCAGTGCTTCCTCCCCCCCTCCTATTCTTAGTTCTAAGCACATGAGAGAATTAAGTGGAGTAACAGATGAGACAAGAATGACAGTTTTCTCTGCTAGAGGAAAGTCTGTAGACTGGATATAATTGACCATCTCTGGACAGCCACCCCCTATGCGCTTTCAAACAGAAACACAGCAGAACGGCAACATCATAAGCAAAACCTGTGTTAAAAAAATTCTAAGTACACAGTATTTTCTCCAGTTCTGACACCTTTTTAATAGAAATCACTTGTTTAGGAAACAAATAGCACTTTTTGTAATTTTTACAATGTTTCTTACCTTGATCTTATTTTAAGTAACACTAGGAAGACCTCAATATCTTTTTTTTTAATTTAAAAAAAGTTGTTTTTCCCCCAGATACAAAGATTTTGCCCTTGCATAAAAAACAGTGCCCAAAACGATGACACACGGACTCACAAAGACTCACTGTATCTCACTGACACTATTACTTCTAATCTATACCATGCAAGGTCCCATCTACCTCTTTAATTGGACTGTCAGCCTGAAAAAACAGCTTTTCTATTCCTTACATTTGTAACCCAAAGAGAAAGGAAACGAAGGAAACAGGCATTTATCTGCTTGGGTTGGATGGCTGGGACATGTGCTGCTTTGTTTGGGGTATAATGTTTGCTTGATCAATGTATAAAACCAGGTTGGGATTTCCTTTTCAGTCATGGCACATTCTTCCAAACACCCATGCTGATCCCATTAGCCCCTGCCCCCTTTCTTCAGCAAAGGCTTCCTGAATCAACCTGATGACCAAATCAGCAATGCATTTGTCAATTTGAAAAAAACGGGGGATAACCCAAAAGCTGCCAGTCAAGCAATCCCCAGCTTAAGCATGTGCTGGATACTTAGTGAAAAAGCCTTCCTTGTTCCTTTCTGCGTCTCCTGTCTAACCAACAGTGAATACTGCTTATATGATAGGCTTGGTCCCGCCCACCCCTCAGGACACTAGGACTTGTTCATTCATATTTCTGGATTTTTGGTTTAGTAGTACGGATAATTTAGAAACAGGAAAAGCCCACAGGCTCTTTGGACTTGACGTTTCCCTAACTAAACAAACTGGTCTGCAGATAGGATTTGAAACCTGCTCCTCCTCCCTGCTCCCCACCCCCAAATAAAAATAAAACAAACCTATAGTGGCTGTGGAGGCTGCTGCAGGCACACACTGGTGTAAAATATAGAGAGAGTAAATATATTATTTAACTTGGCATGGTGCTGGCTAAGAACCTCCAGCTGGCACTATTCATGTAACATGGTCCAAACTTTGCACGTACACACAGAATAAGGAGGATCGATTGGCAACTCTGGTGCCGCCTGGCACAAGCATCTTCCACTCTCTTTCTGGAACCAAAGAGTTCTGCACTTTCCAGAAGAAATCCAGCTTTGCTTTTCTAGAGAGTTTTGTTGTTTTGCTCTGTCTCCTTGCCGCCTTCCCCCCCTGGGCTCCTTCTTACTGTGCCTCTGTTATTTAGTCTCCTCAGCCTTGTTACAGTTCACCATGCAGCTCTGGGAGGGGGAAGAGGCTGGAGTGGAGGTGGCAGCATTCGCATTATTAGCAGAGTCCATGCCATTGGAGATGGCTAATGAACTGCCCTCGGAGTTTATTGGTTTTGAAAGGTTGATGCCCTGGATGAGGCGGATTAACTGTTTTACCTTCTCCAATGAACTGTGCATTTCCTTCTGTTTTGCCAGGATGGTGTTCTTCATTTCCATACATTTCTGAAACAAATGGGGACAACATTAAATATTATGACTGCACTAAACAGGACCTTAGAATGAAAACTTAAATAAATGGATCCCCAGAATCTACCAGTCACCTTTGACTGCTAAAATAGGCTATCAAGCACTTGGTAGATATGAAATACCATACACAGCTGATATATCACATATAATTTGGGAGCAACATAGAATTCAGATTTAACAGAGTGAGATCAACCCCCTTCCTTGGGATTTCACAGCAACAACTAGACTCCAGAGTATGTAGGTCACAGTGTCCACAGATAAAGGGTTTTAGTCATAGTATTTTGTTTACATAAATACATTTGGTGTTAAGATAATTAGATACATATCAGTATCATAAATGCCACACAACTGTAACTAATTAGCCTTTCACTCTCAACAGAACAGTACAAAGTGAATTCTGTCTTTGGGACTGCCTGAACTATCTTTTTTGTCCATATCTTGTGGTAGATTCTCACTTTGACCAAGCAAGCAGATTGTTCTATCTGATCTACACCTGCAAAGGATAGTGGGATGTGGGATGGACACACCCAGCACTGGGATGCTGCTGTACTCTATGTGTGCTGCTGAAGTCACAAATGGAGCTGTCAACTCTGAACTGGGTTAGTTTTCAACTCTGGAAGGAGGGGGTTGAATAAAAGTTCTTCCCAGCCTCAATAATTTTATGGCAGAGTGATGTCTCTGGATCAGGCCTTGATCCAGAAAAATACAGGGGGCAGCAGTATGACAATGTTAGTACATAACAGAATTACTGCAACAGTGCTAATAATAGAAACGTGAAGAATGTTGTACACGATGAATAATCACTTCATGATGTTTTATTCTTTTCACAGTGGGACGTCAACAGACAGTCAATGGAGGACAAACTTCCCCAGAGTTACCGTTCGTTTCGAACTCTCTTTTTCACACAACGGTCTCAGTTCCGAATCCATACATCACGAGACCTTTAGTAATCAACTCTTTCCAGTTCAATGCAGAATTACAAATGCTCTTGGCAACAATATGAATAAATCGGGCAGCTGTGATGTATGGATTAGGAACTGAGACCGTTGTGTGAAAAAGAGAGTTCGAAACGAACGGTAACTCTGGGGAAGTTCGTCCTCCATTGACGGTCTGTTGACGTCCCACTGTGAAAAGAATAAAACATCACATATTTCCTGCCACCCTTATAAGGAACGCTGAAATTGTAATTCTGTGATAGCCTAGGGACCTTTAACATAGAAGCCTTAACTCCCTAAAAACTATGACAATTCCCAAAGTTCCTTGGAGGGAACCCATTACACTTAAACCTGTTTAAGATAGGTCTATACAATGCACTCACAGTAAACATAATGTGTGGGTGAAGCTATGGTGTTTTCTTGAAACAAAGGTAGTGGGTCAAGAGACCTTAAACTTGTGTATGGTGTGCAAACAGAAGTCTTCCAGGGAATAAAGAGATCTTGAGCTAATATTGCTGGAACTTGTCCCAATAATATACTTACTCATGAAAGAAGATATATACATAAGTGTAGTATTCTTGTGTGTGTAATTTAATTGAGCTGCCATTTTCACCACACTAATCTTTGTAAACCAGGGCACATTACTGTCATAAAACTGGATCTAGGAAAAATATTTTTAATACATACACATGAGCTGCTTTGGGAGAATGGCTTAGAACTGATTGGTGGGCAATGCTAGGGATTCATGGTTGTAGCTTCTAGCACAATGCATGGAGTGTAAACAATCACTGGGCAGAGCAGTACTCACTGTTATAGAATTGCTGAGCTGTTTGACCTTCTGTTCTAGCTGTTCCCGTTCCTGTTTTAAATCTGAACTCCATTTCAGTAATTTCTGTTTTTCTTCTTCTTTTGCTGCGAAAAGGAATCAGTTGCCTCAATTATACCCTGTAGATGGGATCTCCCAGCTGTTTTCCAAAATGGATCACACCATGAAAAGGCAGAGGTTCTGACACTGGGCCATACCTGAGAGTGCAGGTCCATGCACAAAGAGATATGAGGCTGCCTCATCCTACTTGACTCTGTGGGTTATCATGCATTCAGTTCTTAATTTCCTTTTGAAAACAAACATCTGCCTGCCTCTCTCAAAATAACATTTTCAAAGAAAGAAAGAAAATCAAGCCAAGAAATGTTTTCCTACCTGCTTTGTATGCAATATATGAATGAACAATTGCTAAAGTTCCTGGCCATGGAATTGCTTCTTCTTTCTTAAGCATCTAGAAGACAAGAATGTGAATATTTGGCTGACTTGTTCTATTGTGCAGGTAGGGAAAAGCAAAAGAGTTTCTTGAGTAGCTATCATTAAACCAATTTTTAAAATGTCCCTTTGCAGTTTTCTTATTAGGACATTTCAAGAAAATAAACAACCTGCGTTTTCCCTTGGCATCTCTCCTGCACTGTTGCTAGTTCCAATCCAGCACGAGTAGCACAACACCCTGTCTGCACATGATGGCAGAAGGAATAGATATACTTCTTTCTTTACACAGGCAATGGGGAGGAGGGGGAGAGTGAGGGGAACCGTGCTGCTGGTTGCTAATACCACTGTGTGCTAATGACACAACTTGTTTATGCCCAGTGATCACAGTCTCAACTGGCATTTCAACAGGTGTTTTTTTGGGGGGGAATTCCCCCCAGAAGCAGTGCTTTTTGAGTGGGGGGGGGAATGCAATTTTTGCTCAACTGTAGCAGTGCTTGGGCAAAAAAAGGTTTGTGAGCCATGGTGCTTCCTCAAATGAAATAAAACATTAAAAATATTATGCACAACCCCCGCCCCCAAATAATCTGGAAAGGACTACGATTTAAGAGTGTGAAATAAATGCACACATCTGTGCTACGTCTCCCACAAAAGAAACCTGGGTAATCATAGTTTCAGCCACAATCTACATGTCCTTGCCTCTTCAATTATTTTCTGCTGATAAAATATTAACAAAATGACGAGGAATGAAAAGACAATGCATCTGATCTTAAATTTCCCTAAAGAAAGCATTTATCACTTTTAGATTCACAAACAAGCTGCTCGTCCCCAAAGGTTTGCATGGTTTCTCTGATGCTGCTGTGGCTGCCAATATAATGGGGCTTCCACATGGCAGGTTTCCCCACTTTTTCCTTGCCCAAGTCTCCTACAGTGGCCATTTCTCCTGCCACCAGAGGACTTTCTTTCTTTTTTAAAACAAAATGGCAATTGACATATTGCTATATCTTTATAATGTTACTAGGAATAAGGCCCATTGTGGAAATAAATACAACGAGCTCTAGGAAGAGGCTCTGGGAGAGTGCCCCAGCCTTGGGCACTCAGCATCAATTTGCTGTGGCAACCTCAGCAGGGTATAATGACAGAGAGTCCACCCTGACCTGGTTTGCTGGGAGGGCAGGGTATAAATACGAATAATAAATAAAATAAATACATTTTCTCCTGTGGAACTGATCTCTGCCATCTGAAGAGCAGTTGTAATTCTGCATGATCTCCATCCCTCCGCTGGAGATTGGCAATAATGGTTCCCCATGAGGGATGGCTGGCTTGGAGAGTGGAGTCCATGGCATTGCACCTGTCTGAGGCCCCACCCCTCCTCTAACCTCACCCTCTCCAGGCTCCACTCCTCAAATCTCCAGGAATTTTCCACCTGGAGTTGACAACATTATCAGGACTAGCCCCAATGAGTTTTTCCCAAAGGCCAAAATAGGTGTGGAAAGGGCCTTTTACTGACATAAGCTCGTTGCCTAGCAACAGGCACTGAGAAGAAAGTACAGTGGGCAGGGGAGGGGGTTATGCTGAAAGTCCCCCCCTTTTTTTACTGACAGAAGTTGGTTGCCTACCAAGAGCCACTGAGGGGACAGTTAGTCACAGTTAGGCCCACACAGGAGCCAAGATAAGTTTCTTCCTCAGGAGAGAGTCGGGCTTTCCAGGAGACGCAGCTCGTTTCCTCCAGGCCAGACCCTCCCTGGCGCTGCCGACACTGCTGAAGGAAGATAGGGGAGCCATTGAAAGGCGCTGGGCAGCCTTCTCTGCGGTGCAGCCGCTGAGCTATCACCCTGACAAAGTGCCAACCTTGTGGCCAAGGGAGAGGGGCCATGAGGGGCAGTGAAGGTGAGTGCTTCCCCTGCTTGCTGCTGCTCGCTAGGTCTGCCTCCTCCTCCCCCGTGGAGGGGTTGCCACTCCCTCAGCGGAGCGTCCATCCCCTTTGCTGGCTCTCTCCAGACTGAGAGCGAAACGTTGGCTGCCGGCTCTGTGGGTGGGGCCGAGGCAATGCAGCCAGGGGATTGGGAGTCCACAAGATGGGCAGCTGAGCGGGCGAAAGGCTGTGGGAGCGTCACACCAAAACTCTTTTATATATAAGGAGAGAGGAGAGATAAACAATATGTTTATCGTGTTCTCTGAATTCCCACCTTAAAAAAAAGGTCTCTAGGCTCTTCCTTTATGGAAAGAAACTAATTCTGGACAGATTCACTGGAAAGGATTCAATATAACATCTACAAGTCAAGAAGAACGCTTCTTAAAGTATTTTTGCTTGCCACAGAAAGGCGTTGTTTCAACATGTCAGTATCAGTGAGAGAACACTTTGAAATCTGGATGAGAACAGCAAACATTAAATGTCTTTGTGTTTATGAGGCTATGGTAATTGGCTCAGTTTACAAAAGCTTAATCATAAATCTGATAAACTTGATTGTTCTCAACCTCTCCACATCCATGTAAGCCATTATGTCCAATGCAGAGAGCCTTTGGTAACAAACAATACCTGGTCTTGACATTTGGGACAGATCCACATGCCCTTGGGAATAGTTTTCAGAGGCGGGTCCAGACAGTCCAGATGATACACACGTGAGCATGTGTCGCACATCAGTAACTGCCCACTTTTCCTGCAAACACTGCAAAAATCTTCATGGATATCACCCTATAAAATTGATGAGAGGAGTAAAACATAAAAAAGTTTAAAAGGTGAACTTTTTAATTTTTGAAATCTGTTTTCCAGTCCAGTGTAAAGTCATCTACAGACTCCATTTTGATCCCAGGTAAAAGTGTCCTTTTCGTGGGATACAGAAAGAAAACTACCAAAAGTGCCTGAATTGTAACTACCCTTACTTTACTCAAGATTAAAAACCATAGTAAAATCTTGTAGCCACAATTTCTTGAAATGACCCCATCTCTCCCTTAGTACAACTTAGGCTTGCCAGGTCCTTTGCTCTCACTGGTGGGGGGTGGGGTGGGAAGGAGATTTCTGGGGGTGGGACGATGTTGCAGCACGCAACGTGCCCAGCGTGATGATGTCACACGGAAGTGACATCATCATGCTGGGGTTGTTGCACAGTGACACTATGGTATTTTGGGCAAAACTTGATTTAAAAGCCTTAAAAATCTTATTTGTCTTACTTCCACAATGTATGTATTTTAATAGCCAGAACTGGATTCAGTCATTACCTCACGCAAGGTCTGCAGGTCTTCCCCACTTTCCCTTCCCTCCAGCAGTCCCTTCCAAGTTCTGACCACAGGAAAGATGATTCCCAGGATCATGGGACACATGTGGAGTAATAGCAATCAGGTTGGAAGTCTGCTGTGTTTCCCAGGGTCAGAAGGGACTATGGGGAAGATCCACAATGGTCAGTGTCTTCCGCTGACAGATCACTGGTTCTAACCCAGGATCTAAGCCCCATATCAAATAAGCAACGTCTGGACTTTATTTTTATTTTTTAGCACTATAGTGGTACTACACTGGTCCAGCACTAATAGCACAATATCCTAATTCCAGACAATAGAGTGACGTGGATGTCTTAGCATGTGGGAGAAAGAGCACTGAACTTTTTTACCCTAAGACAGAGAAAATCTAGCGCTGAAGTGCTTACAGCCTAGAATTAAACAAACAAACGACCAAAAAAAACCCTAACAAGAAGAAACCAGTTCGCAAAACCACTAGCCACAGCTGAAGAAGAGCAGGGAGTTGTACTGATGTTTGCCAGTGTTTCTTTAAGTGGCAAAATGAGCATTCCTATAAAATAGTACCCGTACTGGGAAGAGAAAGTATACAGATTGTGACCAGTGATATCATAGCCATTAAAGAGGTGCCTCTGGTTTTTGCCTGGCCACATTCCAACACCAAATCACAATGGAAAAATGAAATGCTGGAGCAGAGGAATCATCACTTTCCATTCAGATCCAGTGATGTATGATCAGAAAAACAGATATTCCCACAGCAGCTCTGCTACTTGAGAAAAATCCTCAGCAACAAATGAGAAAACTTCTTACTGACTGCAAACCCCCTCAGACCAAAACCTTAAACCCACTTGACATGTGAACACAATAAACACAGCTCCAACTGGATTGTACCTTTGACCTTTCCTAAAAATCTAAGGGAGCCATACATCACTTTAAGAGAACATTCACATGCAGTATCTGTTAAATATTCTGGAAATATACTCCTTTCATTTGCAAAATAAAAGTTAATGCATTCTTTGATCCATGATATACTTTCATCTTGGTGTAGGCACTGCCAAGTACATATTTGGATTATAATGTTTACAACTCCACTCCAGTCTTAAGCCACACTCACTTCTGATTTATCTCAATTAACCTGGGCCATTCAATAGAAAAAGGCCATACTAGATCACAAAGACAAAAAAAATGTCATTCTCTGCTGTAAAATGTTAACAATAACTGAAAGATCTAGTTAATAGTTTACGCTTAATAGCCAAGGTTACTCATTTCGCATTACCGCTGGACATCCTCTCGTCCCCAACTATTCATTTTAGAGGCATTTTCCTGAGACACAATTCATAGCGAAGCCATTTTATTTATTTCTTTTTCTGTATTGTCTCCTGCCACTGCCATCTAAACGGTTGCTATTTCTATTTGTATATCTTAGCATTCAGAGGTATAAAGAAAAAAAGAGCCTAAAAAGGACAGATTACAAAAAGGGAGCCAATTGAGGACAGAAATGGAAACCTGTTA